TTGAAGTATTAGCCTCCACAGGTGGGTAGAGACCGTACTCTTTCAAAAGGTTAGTTACCTGCTCGTCTAGCTCGGCATCTTTTTTACGAGCCTGGGGCAATTCAGCTCAGAGGTCTCTGAGCTCCTCTTCTTTCTGCACATAGAGGCGTTTGAGGGTGTCTCTCTCCTCAGTAAGCCTTTTGAGATCGGCCTCACACCGGCTCAGCTCGGCGAACGCTTCCCGATAGATCACCATAGCCTATGGAGAATGGAAAGAAATCGGCAAAGAGCAGATAAAAGCAAACGTGATAACGGGGAATGAAGTTTACCTGGTTCAGGATACGATGGGCCTCGTCAAAAACCATCGTCGCATCTAGGTCGGAAACGTCATCGATATTAATTTCCCCAAGCGAATCACTTGGGGCGCTCTCTCCCTTGGGAAGAGCCCTACTACCGGACCCTTCAGGCACACTCGGCGTTTGTTGATCACGGCAGGAAGTATCTTTTACCCCTGATTGCTCGGGGACTTTGCTCGGAGTATCATCCGAGATCTCCTTGGTCCGAGGATGAGTCTCCTCGACCATCACCGGCCCAATTGTTTTTGGGGCCTCGATGCTCCCCCTCTTTCGAGGCACCAGCTCGCAACCGGCATCCTCCCCCTCCTCTTCCTCATCTCGTAGATTTTGGGCTACGCCGGCAGACAGAGCAGTAGAGTCGTCCTTCGGCTTACGAGCCCTACTCTTCTTAGGCTCCAGGGTATCAGAAGGTGAGGCCCTTCTCCTTTCTTGTCCTTGGCTGGTTTGGGAACCACCTCTTCCCCAGGCGGGGCCGGCCTCAATTCAGCAATATCCCCGAGGCTTGCGTAAAAGGAAGTCAAGTATGTATGAGAGGAAATTCAGAAAAGGACATCATAATCATACAGGATAAGCTTACCATGATTTTTAGCCTCCCATCTACCCTTGCCAAGTCACGCCAGCAGCGCTCGGCATGAGAGGAAGTTGCAGCCAGCTTCCGAACCCAGTCTTCAAGGTAGGGGACCGCGTGAGGCATCCAGGCAACCGCTGCATATCTGATAAGAGTGTTACACAAAGCTAAAACAAAGTACGAAGATTAATGGCTAATACTTATGATCGGGGTTCCATTTCTCGGGGAACGGTAGTTTCTCCTTGGGGATGAGGTCACAGGTCCTTATCCGCACGAACCGACTCATACAACCTCGGTCCTTGTCCTCATTGATACTTGCAAAAAAGGACTTCGTCGATCAGCGTTGTCGCTTGATTAATCCTCGATAAAGTTTTGGTCGATACAGTCGTATAAGGCGGCTGAGAGTGAATTCCAACCCCTTGGCCTTACCAGAGAAGAAGCGGAGCATAATCATTATGCGCCAGAACGAGGGATGCACCTGGCCAAGGGTAACCTGGTACATCTTGCAAAAATCGACGATAACCGGGTCAAGAGGACCCAATGTGAAGGGGTAAGTGTAAACACTTAGAAACCCCTCCACGTGAGTGGTGATACTTTCATCGGGGGGGGGGGGGGATCTGCACCACGACCTCGGGCCCCTAGTTGCAGTCTTCCTTCACGGCTTCGAGCTATTTTGCCGTTATCGAGAAAATATACCTCGATACATGTTCACATCGGCCAGGGACCGACGGAGGGTTCTCGACTTTGAAGTTATTTTTTAGGACACAAGGGCTGGAAACAATCTTGTGAAGGAGCGGTTCCACTGGCGTTTTGTCACCGGCCGGCCGGGAAGAAGAAGAAGAGGCTTTCTCCTTTTGAGAGACGATTTTGGAGGTTTTTGCCATTGATTCAGATGAGATAGAGCAGAAAGAGGTGGGGTTTGGTATTTCTGGTCCTAAAAGATCGAATCAACGGGCGGTGGAAGAGAAGAGATGGAGAGAGGAAGAGACTTAGAGAAATTGGTAAAGATGAAAGTAAAGTCTTGATTCAAATGGGAAACCTGTATTTATAGGTTCACGACGACGGTTTGGTGGCGCTAGTTGCCGACCGTCACTGGCAAGCATTTAATGTTTTGGGGAACCGAACCGACAGAACGTTTCGGTCACCTCGAGCGCTTATGTCACGGGGATGACGTCATTATCGGGGCCTCCAGAAAATCGAGGCTCAAGTCATTTCTTATCATTTTATTCTAAGAAACGAGGGGACTATCTATATACGGTGGAAATCGGGCTACCCAATTTCGTTCTTCGATGGAAAAAATGATATCACGTCGGAAGACCAAGACGTCGAGCTCGGGGTCGAAGTTTTTTTCCAAGGTCGAGGTCGATATCACTTATCGGGGTCAGAAGAAGGCATGCTTCGGGATGATGTCGTTATGATTCAGTAACAGAAAGAGCGAGATATCCGCAACGAGCCGGATATCACGGCGTGAATTTTGGAATGGATTGGTCTTCGGCTGTTAAACAGTTGTCAAATACGATTTCCTACTATAATTAGAAGTGTACCTTATTTAGGACTCTCCTATTATATAAAGGGGGATCCCATTCATTTGTAAGGACATTGTTCACTGATAAGAAAATATACGCACGTTACTCTCTTGCTATTTCACTTACTGTTCATCAGAGTTATTTTATCATTTGTTATTCCCATTATCATACCTTGGGATTATCACAGATCGAGGTCGAGATTTAGCTTGCACACTGGTTTGATCTATTTTATTCTTTAATTTATCTATTTAATTCCTTGTTTATCAATTGGTATTGAATCAAGTCACATATCGTTAAAACCACAATATAAGTTTAATTGTTACTCGAATTTTAGGGTAAACAGTAAGTTTCACTTTGATAGTGTGGTAACTTGGTAAAAACTTAATCGAACTTAATGTTCACCTAATCAAATGAATACATAACATATATATGTTTCACATATATACACAATTATCACTAGATCATAATTAATTAATATAAAAATTCATCTTCATTTACTATTTAACCATAATAAATTAATATGATTTGTTCAAAACATGGAATGCAAGTAATATATCTTCCTCCACCCTTACCCAATATCTGATGTTCAAGCTTCCGAAATGGAGAAACTTCTAATAGGGAACGTTTTGCCCTTTAACGAACACCTACACAGTGCAAATTCGGAATAGTCTGGCCAAAGGAGTATTAAAAAAGAAGTTCCATGCACAGTCAGCCAGATAAGGCTATTGTTTGCTCAAAAGTTATTACATATCTTATGAGTATAAAACAATATAAATGAGTCCCGGGAAAATCATAGCAAATCGTAATAATCCGTTGGACCAAATGAAAGAAACGAAAATAAGTACTCAGGATTAGGGGGGGAAACATTAGAAACCTTTATTGATAACATTTGTTTGGTCTGCCTCTCCATGAAAAGGTTCAGAGCCTTACAATGGTGTTTTCTCTTCCCATAAGATGGGTATATTTTTTCTCTTCTCTCTCTTGTCAATAGTGGTGAAGAAGCAGCCCCCCCTTTCTAGGGTTCCCTCTCTGGGTATTTATAGTTGTGGGCTTCGTGATCTGGCGATAAGTGGCCGTGACCACGTTGGGATCTCGCCTTTATGGTGGCGGATAGGCCATGGCCTTGTCGATCGAACCAGATGCGGGTTGAACATCGTCAATTCTGAGTGGTCGTGCCATTAATTAATCATGAATTAATTTAAAACGGGATTAGCCTCGTTAATTATCGTGGGGTCGAATTCTGACCCATACAGCTATGTTTTTTTTTTTTTTTTTTTAAAGTGACGACGAGTTGTCAATACGATCATCTGGCTCTATTTCAAAATAATTACCAAGAGTTAAAGTTGAAGTATATAGATTGACAAAGTTTAGTCGTCCGAACGCTTTGTTTACTAGATGTTACAACTTGGCAGCAGTTAGTTACAAGAAATTAATTTCGAGGACTTAGAAGGATTGTGAAGTAGATATATCAAATGTATTGCACTCTAAGGAGATATTTTTATCCGTAGGCTCATGTACACATAAATATATTGCATGCATTAATTTTATAGTCGCTGAATGTATACCACAAATTTTCAGGTTAATTTCACAAATGGTCATATAACTATCACATTTTTTCACCGAAATCATATAATTTTGTTTTCTCGCATAAAAGTCATAAAACTTTCACTACTTTGCTCAAAAAGTCATAGTTACCGGCAAATACGATTCTCCGGTAATTTTTTCCTACTCTACCAGTTTTTAATTTATTAAATTCAATCAAATAAATTATGACTCAATTAACATGTGCCTGACCCAACCCGACCCGATATTCATATCCACAAATTAAAACATCCCCCAAATTTGATACTTCTCAGTTCTTTCTCAATACCGACAAACTATACAACTTCATGAATGTGGAAGAATTATCATGTTATTTTCTCATCAGTTATTTGGTTATTCCGGGACCTCTCTCCTAGGGTAAGTATCTTATTTGTGATAATGGGTAGGTGCTTCAGAGATCCCATGACTATCCTGCCACAATTATTTAATTCTAAGGAAGTAACTAACAGTGAATATCTTAAAGCAAAACATTCCTGGGAACTAAAAAAACTTTTATGGCAAAATAGAACGAGCAACGAGCAATATCACTAAACTATAAATATATATATATTATGGATGTTCATTTAATACTGCATTGTAAATAAGCTTCCTGAAGAAACTTATCCATATGGGACTCTACCGTAAATATGATTATCTATTTAGTATTTTATAGGAAATAAGCCTCCTGAAGAAGCTTATTATTTCGGTACTCCGTTATGGATAAATATTACCTTCCGGTAGAAGATTATCTGTATCTGGTACAGTAGTAGCTTACAAGCAGCTTACACAGCAACTTGCTGTAGCAGCTTGCTGTATTCTATAAATAGAGGAGATTTCAGTTCATTATGTACATGAATTTGAAGTTGAATAATACATGAATCTCTCTCTATACTTGTCTTCGATTTATTTACTTTATAGTTTTTATTTTATAACATAAACAAAATATTGCTTACTAAGCAATACAGCAAATAAAATGTGCATCAACCAAAAGACAAAAGCAGACACAATATATTATGCCAATAAGTGTATGCCATTTACAAAAGAAAAGAAATTTTAGACAAATATCCCTATTTTGTCTTTGAGAGTCTACACTTCTTCACCACAACTTGCACATAATCTTGCATAACTTTCTTCTTGACTTCCCTGCCTCTTTTTGATACTTTCACAACTTCAGTGTCACCTTACACAATCTTATGACCATGTACAACTCTACCTACAATATCTTGTTCAGCAACATCCTATAAAACAATACAACACCGTGAGAAAAAATAAAATTAAGCACATATAAAGGACCATGAAATTCAACTAACAAAGGCAACACAAACAAAAAATAATAATTTTTACCTCTTTTGGAGTCATTCCTAGTGCAGCAAAAGCATTTGTGTGGTGTGGTCACTAAGTGCAGCAAAAATATTATGGTTGTCCCTTAAAGTACTCCTCTGATATGGACAGGAAGCCATTTTTTTGGCTTGAGAGCCCTAAAAGACCGCTGCTTGAGAGCCTCAAAACACCGTTGCTTGAGAAGAGAATTGAGATAGTAGTATGTATTTTGTTGATCCTTGCTTGAGAACCCTAAAAAATGCTTGAGAAAGAACTGAAAAGTATCAAATTTGGGAATATTTTAATTTGTGGATATGGATATCGGGTCGGGTCGGGTCGGTCATATGTTAATTGAGTCATAACTTATTTGATTCAATTTAATAAATAAAAAAATGGTAGAATAGGAAAAAATTACCGGAGAATCGTATTTGCCGGTAACTATGACTTTTTGAGCAAAGTAGTGAAAGTTTTATGACTTTTGTGTGAGAAAATAAAGTTATATGACTTTAATAAAAAAATATGATAGTTATATGACCATTTGTGAAATTAACCCACAAATTTCCCTTCCTTAGCTCTTCCTGCTTTAGCTTATTATTTCTCGAATCAATCCACCTGAGTCACTGAAAGTTGTAGACTTTCCTATCGAAATTACGGTCAAGCATCCAGTTAATTCTTTCTAAGTGAAATGTTTAAATGCAGAGCTGATAAACATCTATCAAACAATTATATCCAGTCCAATAAATGATTACTCCTTCGTAAAGGATAAGGATTTCTTGGATTAAGATATTGTTACTTGATGTGAAGCCCAACTAGAAGACAAAAGGAACCTCCCTCGATCATTTATCAAACAACTACTTGTAAAATCTTCAAAGGGTCATAAGATGTAATTATTTTGGTTCATTTCTCTTCTCTTTTTATAATCCAAAAAAACAAATAGCTTCTGGAAATGCATATTATTTCTGCTTAAACTAATTTTATTTTCATATTACCGTTTTGTTGGAATGTCTGGAATCTATTAACATTATTGAGTTTAGCTTCAGGTCTAAAATGTATTTTGTGGTCCAATTTAGTTTTGACTTCCAAATTCCAAATAATTTCAATGTCAATCACCTGTTGAATTTCTCTTTTTCTTAGAAATAATAAGATATGAGTTTAAAGATACCCCATGAATAAAGGAGTTGAATTACCGAAAAAGAACTTACAGTGTCGAATTTTCAGTTTTTAAATTCTTTAAAGTATGAATTTTTTTCGTTTACTGTTTCCCAACCCCCATACCTTCCGTCCTACAACGGTACTCTACAGGAGTCTTGGTTATTCAAAAGTTTGATATGAATGCTCTTTGAATAACATCATACAAATAACAGCTCTACTCTTGGTACAAGTCCACAAATTCAACTACTGTATCACTCTTTTCCTTCGAAAGAAATACTCCAAGATAACAGAGGGGGGAGAAATTTTTTGTAAGAATTAAACTACTAAAATTGTTGGCATATTTAAATGTGCTAAATGCAGAATTCAGACTGCGCTTCACGTACAGATTATTAACCAAGTTGAGCCAGTAACCAACAGGACAATTTGCATAACCACAACTCATCAGAAGCAGAAAAGAAAAGCTAGAATTGCTTTCAATTCAAAATAATTATTCGGATCCAATATGAGATTACTGTGCCCAGCGGAAAACTATTCATCCTTCATTTTCGACCTCCTCTCTACTTAAAATATATATTCAGAATTGAGTTATAAACAGTACATGGATTGAATACTGCAATTTCAATTACTATCATTTATCCATCACAAGGATAAAACTCTCATACTCCTACACACGAAAATTGTAGCACAGAGCTAATTCTCCATAAAAGATGAGCAAACTGCAGAGTGTAAATCGAGCTTGTAAAGGAAAGCAAGTCTATTCTGCGATTCTACACCAACCACAAACATATCTTGAGAAAGCAGCTGATGCCAAAGCAACAAAAAAAGCTCATCAGACCAATAACTTTTCTGAGCTATGGTCACTTGAGATTTGGAATATCTTATGCAGACCTCCTTCCGCTTGTGGTGATACCATAGGTACTTGAACTAATCCTAGTTCGCTTCCTCTTCATGGTCGGTGTAAAGCTATTATTCTTTCTTTTTATTAACTGATTATCACTCTTGTTTCCCCTGGAATTTGATTTTCATCAGGCTCACCTAGATCAATCACTTCAAGCATTGACAAACCCGCCTTCCTGTATGTTTTGACAATCTGCTCAAGTCTATCATGTGCCAAAACAGCTATCTTGGTGACCCTTCTTGTCAATAAAGTCAAAATAAAACGAGGATTCCTCCACTTCTAGCAAAATGCCTCAGTCACCGGTCACCAATAAGGCTGTAGGAATGCAAAGATAAGTGTATGATGCATGGTATACTAAACCAACTAGAAAGACATGACTTGTTAAATATTGAATTATTACAACTAAAGTAGACCATTAAATTGGATTATGAAGGGGCATTATTTACAACTGCAGCACCAACTAGATAGCTTAGTGCCAAACAGCCCTGCGGTCTTCTGACTAGAGGATCAAGTCTGTGTAACCCATCCAAAGTTGGTCATTGACATGATTAAGATTTTTCAGAATGGATTAAATCCAAATTAATCCATCAAGTTTTGGGCCAAAATAAGCTAAAAGAATGCAAGCAAATGATTAGTTCGCAACTCTCTATATGGCTAATATGATTACTTCTCTCCGTTTCATTTTGTGCGAAGGTGCTTGACAAAGCACGGAGTTTAAGAAAGAAAGAGCCTTTTGAAAATTGTGGTCTTACCTCTTAAACATGCTATGGCATTTTTGTGGCTATAGATCATGTCTTAAGGGTAAAATGAGAAATTTAAAATTACCATGTTTTTCTAAATATAGAAAGGTGCCATTCTTTTTGGAAAAGATTAAAAAGGAAAAGGTCACATAAAACTGCACCGGTGTTGTGAAGAGAGGAAAAGAGACGAGCCCCTTTTCGCTTAAAGCGAGCGCTCGCTTTTTTTGAAGTGAAGCAGAAACTTTTAAAAAAATATTAAAATAAATACCGAAACGAAAAAAATGGCAGTAAGTAAGAAAAAAAGTACTCAAAGTAACACGCTTTTTTAAGTCTTTTTTTTAAATGGTTTAATAGATACTTAAATCAACAATGATATAGTCAGGAAAAGGAAGGGAGGATAAGGGGAAGAAGGAAAAATTAGAGCATCCAGTGTAAACCAGAACAGCAGAAAAGGATGAATGCCGGATAAGAACAGTAAAAACAAACGGGCTAATAAAGTAATAAGAAGAGTGTTGATGCCATGGGCAAAGACAGGGAATTTCCACGGAAGAAGAGAGGACGAAATGCAGAAGCAGTGAATAAGAGAAAACAGGACATACCAAAGAAAGAAAAAGAAAGTGGAAGAAGAAGTTGCTGATGCAGTAGCTTGAATGCAGGATCCTAAGAAAGAACAGAAAGGCAACAAAGGATTAATGAAGAATAGGGAAACAAGAAGATTCTTACACATGGAGAAGGAAAAGAAAATCAGAGGGAAAGAAGAAGCCGCTTGGATCCATAGAATCACTAGTGGTCTGCCAGGAAAGAAGAACATGAATAAGGGGCAGACGGGCAAGGAAGCGCGCGCGCGCGCGCGAGAGAGAGAGAGAGAGAGAGAGAGAGAGAGAGAGGCACCAAGCATTGATACCGAAAATGAGGAGGAGCAGCAAAGCGACAATGAGAAAGGGGAGCTGACAGGAGAAGAAAAGGAAAGGGGAAAAGAGAGGAATGAGAGGCTGGGAACGGAAGCCAATAATAGGTCACTGCTGACATGTCAGCACGGGAAGAAGAGAAAGAAAAGAAAGAGGGGGTGATAGCTTCGGTTTACTATGTTCTTCTTTATTCATTTCTATTGACAAAAAAAAAAGAGAGAGAGACAGAGAGAGTGATCCACTATTAAGTCAAGACAAGATTGAAGCAGCTATTAAGTCATAGCATATAACATAACAGATGTAGAACAACACAACACAGACATGCATACATAAATACCACTAATAAAAGCGTATAAGAAAGAAAATGAATCAATAGAATAAACATAAGGAAAATAGCCTGGTACTTAGAAGGCATACAAATGAGATATTGTTATTTTGAATGAAGAAGAGAACATAAATGATAGTATGAATTAATTAAATGTTGCTTCATTTCCAAACATGAGGAAAAAAACAAACCTGTGTATTACTGCATTGATAAAAAATCAAGAGCACCATCGAGAGCTTTAAATCAGTGCTTGAGCTGGCGCGCGTTCCAGCTTCTTCTCCTCTATTTTCTTTTGCTGACCTGAATGCTCTTATAGTATTTTCCAGTTTCATATCTTTGAAGGTTGAATACAACAGCCAAGCATTCTGGTATTGCTTGAAGCTTCCAAAAGATATAAGAACAAGCTGCTTTAGCCCAAAAAGTTGCGATTCGAAGCCCTTGAGTTTTTTCAAGTTTGTCCTTCAATCCACATAACTATGAGACTCAATGAATCCCATTAATACATTCTCTTTGAACTCTAAGACTTCAAAGAAATCGATTCGTGTGGATCACAACCAAGGCCACAAATTCATGTTAACCACTCGGCAATAAAAGATATGTCAACTTATTGCAATGCAAATATTAATAAGCTAAAGTTTCTAGAAGATGATTAAAGTTGGATTTTGCTTTTAAAAAAGGTTTTCAAGTTTGAAAGTTGCTCAAATACTGAGTTAGAAGAACAAGGAAAAATATAGGGGTGTTCATGGTTCGATTTGGATCGGTTTTTTCCTAAAAAGAAACCAAACCAAGTAAGTCGGTTTTTCAAATACTAGAACCAAACCAAACCAATTAAGTCGGTTTTTTCTCGATTCGGTTTATGTCGTGTTTTCGGTTTTTTCGGTTATTTGTCGGTTTTTTCTTAAATATAAGACATACACTACCAAACACATATTCCGGCGACCGCATTTTCAACGTAACACTATCAAATCAATTGTCCTTTGAGAAATTTATTATTTACCAAGATATATTGATGATAATTGGATCAAATAGTGATGAATAATTTAAGGACTCAATTAAAAATATATTATTTTTAACGCGAAATGGATTCTTACACTTAACAAAGGAAACTACCAATCAAACTAGATGTAAAGGTAAAGAACTATACTAAAAGTGCAAACTATTACCATTTACCATAAAAATTTTGAAACTTTGTATAAAAATATACATATAATAGGTGTAATAATAAATTTGAAATAGCTACTCCTATAGTCGGTTTGGTTCGTTTTTTTTTTTTTTTGATTAAAACCAAAACCAAACCAAATTTGATCAGTTTTTAAAATTCAAAACCAAAACCAAACCAAACCAAAAAGTACCGGTTTTTTTGGTCGGTTTGGTTTGGTTTTCGGTTTGGTTCAGTTTTTCGGGTTTTTATGAACACCCCTAAATATGATGGACTCCTGAGCTTGTAACTCCACTATAGTTTTCAGGATAAGTGGTAGATTTTTCCTTGTTCCTGTAACTCATTACTTGAGTGCAACTTTTAGACCCGAAAACTTTATTTTTAGCAAAATTCAGCTTTCATCATCTTCTGAAAACACTCTTACGGAGATTTGCATTGAAATAAGTTGTGACATTTGCTTGCCGAATGGTTACCATGATCATGTGGTCTTGGTCATTCATACTTCTGAGAACCCTGAGGAAGCTGACCTTCATACTTCTGAAAACCCTGAGGAAGCTGACCTTCTCTGGAACCGGTTAGAGGGGAGCGAACTAACTATTGTAAGAGAAATCAATGTCCTTAAAGTCCTAAAGTTGAAAGAAAATGCATTCATAGAAGCCAGAGATTGGAGGCCTCTTTAGTCTCCTAGTCTTGTGGATTGAAGGACAAACTTGAAAACCTAGAGGGTTTAAAATCGCAACTTTCCTAGGCTAAAGCAACTTGTTTTATATCTTATTGCAAACTTGAAGCAGTCCCAGAAAACTTAGCTAATATATCAAATATTCAAGATATAAACTGAAAAATACTACAAAAGCATTCAAATCAGTATGGCACTTGTTCTTGCCGAGTGGTTACCATGATCCTATAGTCTTGGTCGTTCATACTTCCTAATTAGCATTATTGGTAAACGACATTAGGCTTCGAAGAGTGATAAGCCCCTTGAGAACAAGAACTGGCTAAATACAATTGTAAACCAGTAAAAAGAAAACAGAGTGAGCCACAACATCATCATTTGATCAATCACTCATTTTGTCTTTGAACCAAACATAAAAATTAGACTTCCTATAACATAGAGGTTATCAATTATTGTTGTCTAAACACATGGAGTTCAGATTAAACTACAAATAATCTACTCATAACAATATCACTTTCATGTTCAATTACTGTGAATAAAATAGGAAAACAGGACTGACAGAGACAATAAAGATTCAATTCACCATCGCCTAAATTACCGAACATGTATAATAAAGATTCAATTCACCATCACCTAAATTACCGAACATGTATAAAAATTAAGTTCAGAATTGACACACATAATCAGTTGTACATGTTGCCAGAGTACCAACTATTTTGAAAATCATAGATTATGCCAAACATACTTGGACATCAAACAAATGAACCCAACAATTTAGTAAAGCCTTTAAAGCATCCAGTTCATATTTAAATTAAAAAAAAAAAAGCGTAGAAACCCTCAAACTGCCTATCAGATGAATGTCTCAACTATTCAAAAGACGAACCCAGAGGCAAAGTCTCCGCTAACGCAACTAAACTACAATTTCTTCAATTCATCTCCACAATCTCATTAAACCTCACAAACTATTTATTATTTTAGGAGTCAGCTTATCTTATGTGAGCCCACCCACCACCTTTAAATTTATTCTTTGGGCCAAGATCAATTCAAATCAAAGCTCAATTCTCTTCTGTCTCAAAACTTGGCCCAACAAATCTCTTAATGTTCTCCACCACATGGCTCATTTCAAATTCTCCAACTCAAGTTTATCAAATTCCCAAATTCTTTTAGAGGCTTCATGCATCAATCTATCAACTGTCTTAATATTGAATCAAATAAACAGGAAATGCTCAGCACCACAATTGAAGACACAACATTTCCAAGTGAACATGAGGATAAACAGTAAGCATTTGATATGTATGAACAAATCATGATACCAGCTCCTTTTGGAATACCAAGACAACTTTGACCCAAGAATTTCACTAAGAAATGGGCTTTTGGCCCCAATCAAATTTCTAAAATTTCTTGCTGTCACCCGTGACACTTAAAAAAAACTAAGAAGATTCAGGACTACTATAATTCAAGACCACTTGCATAATGAAACTGAAATGTGACCTAACAACAACGACATACCTAGTATGATATATGGGGAGGGTGGGGTGTACGCAGACCTTACCCCTACCGTGTGAGGTAGAGAAATATGATATAATTGACTTTGAATTTACCTTATGACACCTGTTATTAATGAAACTTATGATAATCAATTGTCCCTAAAAACAAAGAGCAAATGACTAAACGACAATCCAGGTTCTCATTTTATTTCCACAAGCCTATACCTAAAAAATACCTCTTCGGCCCAAAAATCTCACAATTCTTAATTAAAAGCCCAAAATTTATTTATTCTCTAATTCATTTGGAAATGACACCAGGTAGCAACTTTACAGGGCTGCTATTTAAGAATTAGCCAGTGCATCCTGAATTTCAGTTTTTCAATTCAATTTTTCAGGACAAAAATGTCATGAATTGTCTTGAAGTTAAGATTTTAAGTTTAAAATTTCAGGACAAAAATAAGTATTGGCTAATCACTAAATAGTATCCATGAGAATGACTATGTGTGCATTTGCCCCCAATTCATAGGCTCTCAAAATTAACCCATCAAATGCCCGAAATAATAGAAACTGCATGTCACTAAACCCATAAGCAAAAAAAAAGTCAATTTGAACCCTGATTTTAATCTTCATGCAAACCGATAATCCTCAATGTAGTGATATAAGCATAGACTACAATGATACTAATTTCTAGAGTTAGAAATGGACAGATATGCTAAAGAAGTCGTGTAATCAGCAGCAACCTACAACACATGGATACCCTGAAACGGACTGAAGACTTTACTAATTCAATACCAGATTTAGATTGAACCAAAACACAACGAGAATGAAACTGACAATTTTAAAAGCTAGGTTTCAACTCTATTAATTTAATACCAGACTCAGATCCATGCCCTATTCATGTGAGAACACACGAAACAAACTCGAAACAAGGATTAAACTAATCTACAGATGACATAGAGCTGTCAAATTAACATCAATCCCTCTTCTTGGGCCCAAAGACTGATGCCCAAAATAGCAAATATTCTGAATTATTCTTAAACACGCTTGGACAGTGAACTACGGGGACTAGGACGCAGGTATCATGCTTTAATTCAAAGAAAACGCCACATAAAGTGATAAACAGAGAGGAGGGAGGAATGACCTTACCAAAAAAATCGATTAATAGAAAAGAATCCCAGCAATGCCGCAAACTCCGGTGCCGGAAATTTCAAGTTGCGATAGGCACTTGGAAAAGAAATCACGATCAACGCCTCCGGTTTCTAATCGGAATCCATCTCACAATCAGATTGTTTTGTTTCTCAATGTACAGGAGTATTTATACAAGAAAAGGTGTACCCGCCTACTTTTGGGTTAATTCTTCACCCGCATTTTTATTATTTACTTTTTCGAGTCCTATATTTAAATTATGCATTAATTATACATAAAGATACACATATAATACATAAATTATATATTCCCTCCGATCCAAAATAAGTTATTTTTTAGATGTTTTCACACAGATTAAGAAATTTACCTTTTAGCATTAATTAACAATAAAATTGACCATATTAACCTTTACTATCTCACATAAACACTCCTAACACATATTCCAACACTATTTATTCCAAGGATACTGTAGGAAAAAAATAATTAATTCATTCTTGAAATCTGGAAATATCACTTATTTTGGACCACAAGAAAAGGGCCAAAAAATCACTTATTTTGGACCGGAGGGAGTATATATTATACCTCTACTTAGGGCTACTTAGGGCTATTCATTTGGATCGGATATCCGAAATCCGAATCGATCCGTTCAATTTCGAATTTCGGATTGGATCGAATTTCGGATTGTGTTTATTAAATTTGCGGATTTGGATCGGATTCGGATTGGTATAATTTTAATCCGATCCGAAATCCGAAATTATTAGGGTATGTATAAATACTAAACTTTAATTTCGGATAGTCAGTACTTCCTTTACATCTTCCTCCAAGTTATTACCTTTACAATTGCTCGATTTAGCTATATTGGCACTATAGTACTCTCATAATTGCATAAACATGAATTTTTTTTTACTGTATTGCCTCTTTTACAAAGAAAATATACATTTGAGTTTGCAACTTTGAGGCATAATAATCCGATCCGAAATCCGAAATCCAAAAATCCGATTCGATCCAAACTTGAAAATCCTATCCGATCCGATATTCTTTCGGATTGGGTTCAGATTGCATTTTCTAGAATCCGAAATTCGAGTCCGAAATGTATTAAATCCGATCCGATCTATGCACAGCCCTACCTCTAAAGACTATTTTTAATTTAAGTGATTGAATAATTGGCCATTTGGGTTACTCGTGTGGTTGGATAGTAGGCTATTTGTGTAAAAATCCCTTCTTCACCCGTTGTGTATATACCCAAGGGAAAAAAAATATAGCTAACACTGATACCTATATTGCCACGTACGAGTAATAAAATTCTCGATCACATCAGCTGTTATTTATTGGGAAG